AGCGAAACAACAAACACAAGGGGAAAAGGAGTGCCTGAGAGTGTCAGTAAAACAGAGCCATTAAAAAGGAGGCCGCTGTGCCACGGCTGGTACGTGCTCGACTCCGTAACCAATCAAATCAAAGGGAAGCGGGTGAAAATCAACACGCCAGCTCCATTTCGCCGCTGAAGGGAGGGCGTCCAGCTTGCATGCTCAGTGTTCAGCTTCCACTGTGATGTCAGCAGCGTGCCTTCAGGGAGAGGGGTTTGCTGCCAATCTGCGGTGTTCCTCCGTTTAGCATCTCTGTTATGGTGGAGCGTGGTGTGAGGCCCTGAGGATTCATAGGAAGCTGAAGCCAGAGCCTCGGGTAGCTACTTAAAGGGATGAGCTAACCTGCAGGCACGACCCATGAATAAAACAACAGTCCAATTAGCCAGCCGACGGGGGCACGCGCGCACACAGGCACACACGCGTGCATGCGCGTTTGCGCACACACATACTCGCGCGTACGCACACACACAGGGAAACACTGGCTGCATAAGTGCTTTCAGGCTGGCTGCTTTCTCTCTGTCTCTGCCTGAATCATTGCCTGACTTAAAACATAAGGACTGAAGTGATTCAGACGCTGCGGATCGGTAGCGCTCTTCCCGAGGCTGAGGCTCCTGCAGGTTTTACAGGTGTCTGCACTTAGGCGTGACACGGAGGTGTGAGGGAAAACAACAGTCACCTGAAGCTCGATCTACAGGCTCTGTGTGTGTATGTGAGAGAGTTTAAGCTACTCTGTCAGGGTTTAAAAGGAACAAACAGGTGATGCCATCACGTCTTCAAGGAGATTTATGAGAAAGACAAAGTGGGCAATTAACCCTGCTCCTGCAATCTTCTCTTACCTCTCCCGTCTCAGGCGTTTCTCCGGTCTGATGGCCATGTTAACTGTTCAAGACAGTGGATCATGAGTAAACTGAGAGCTTATGAAAAACCTGACTCAAGCCCTCTATCATAGCTCTTGAGCCCCATCAAGAAAAGGCCTTCCGCCCAATCAAGACCTCTACATACCAACCCAAAGGAGCCTGGTCTGGCCATTGAGGAGGACTAATTACCATTATATTAGGCCACAAGCAACAAATCTGAAAAATAAAATTTCTCTCAATCTCAAAATAAGCCAATATGGCCATTAGTTTGTTTTTTTTTAAAAGCACAAGTTTTCTATTTAAAACCTGACTGAAAGAGGACAGAGGGGAACGGACACATCCTGTCCTAAATCCACTTTGGGGTCTGTGCAGGGAGAGAAAAACAAACACTCAGGAGTCACAGGTGGCCGTGAGGCAGCTGTGTGTGCCCTAATCTTTTCTATCCAGGGTAAATAAACAGGTTTGGGTCAAACTTCATCCATACTCACCAAGCTACAGATGTAATGGAGATTGCAGGGAAAGGCCGAGCAGTCGGCGAATTGCCTTTGAGAATTTATTGCTATGCTTGAAAACAGGCCCGTTTACCCATTAAATTAGATTAACCGTGGGCTCGTGTTTGAACATCTATGTGTAACCAACTTGCACGGCAGTTTCTTTCACCCGGTCTGCGCCAGCCTGTAACCTGTGGACGTCTGCTTACACAGCAAATCACACAGACAAGAAAACTCCCCTCCTTTATCTCTAGGAGAATGTTGCTTAAAAGAACTGCATTGTGCTTCCAGTCCTTCTTATAAACCACCTCCATCTGACGCCATGGCAGCGTCTGTATGTCTACCACAGCTTCTCCCTGCGAAAGACACAGCTTGGACAGAAGACGCCTGTATAAGAGCAGAGACTGAGGCTGCGGGCCCTGGAACAACGGGCCCCATGCAGACGGCGTTTCCCTACCTCTGCGATAATGGGAACAGACGTGAAATGTTGGGAGGCAATTAATCTATCCCTGATTACATACTAATGAGAGTTCACAGCAATTCTGCAACAGTGTCACTTGTTTTGCTTAGAATTAGGGCGCAAATTAGGGGAGCTCATATTCCTCGCGCAACCCCAAAGAAACCTGTCCCAATTATCGGGCTAATCATACTGTCAGCAAGATCCTTCATACTACTGTAATTACCGCACACCTCTAAAAGTTACCTGTAGCACGCTGCGCTTCTTTGCTTTGCAGGAAATGTGGGAATCAATATCGCGCATCTCTAATGCTTTAATGTCTTAAAAAAGGGGGGAGGTCATTACAAAATAGTTATGCTGGGTAACGCTGCGTATTGTGATAATAAATTACCATGGCAACAAATATTAAATATTACTGAAGGCAAAAAAAAGCAGGGCATGAGGATATGCAGCATTTGACAACATAACTGCTGTGTGTGACAAATCATTGCACCGCAAATGCATTTGAAACATTTTGCACAATCAAACTACATGAAATCTGAACAGCCTCTCTATCTGTATGATCCCTCATAAGGTAAGAGCTCTCATTACTGTGACGGAGACACTACCTTCCAAGTAGACGGACGCTGAACAGGACGTGATGTCCTTCGGTGATTTGCTGCACTGTAGTTATTGATGTCAGAAAATCTTTTTCCCTCAACAGACCCACAGGAGGGTTTGAGCATTACTTTGACTGACAGAGAGAGAGGTGGGTGGGGTATAATCACAGACAAGGACGCAATCCATTCTCTCTGCAGCACATGGGAAAAATTAGGCCGTGATTTTGGCTACACTAAGGTTTATCCACTGCTACTCCTTCCCTTTCCGCTTTGGCCTGTCTGCACTTGTCCCGAACTTGGTTCACCCAGCCAAAGCTCTCATCCACGTTCCTAATGACTCAAGCTTTTCGTCCCAAAAGATGTACGTCTTGATTTACATTCTGATGCAGGAAATAAACACTTATCTGAAGCAGCCATTGCACTACCCCGCCCTCCCCTGACAGTAACACTATCAGGGCCATTGCCCTGGGGGGCCCGTGTCACTTTCTGTTTGTGTAACTTCCTGGTTTGGTGCACTGACACAGCGGCCACTGGGGCCGCAGTCCGGCGGAGCCATCAAATCCATTATAGCGAGCCGCCCATCGGCTGACGCAAAGCAGACGTGATTGATAAGAAAACCTGCCTACCTTCAGCTCCCGCCTGACAGCGACAAAACAGCGACGGGGCCGGCTTTTACTGACATTTGTCATAAATCAATCGCAATTTCATCAGTGGGAGAGCGGCTGTCAGCCTCGCTCATTCCATCTGTTTTCAGTTTGCGCTGAAACTTTCTGGCCGCGCGACTGCCGGAGCGGGCGGGGGCATGAGGTGCCGGGGAACTATTGAGTGGCTGAGGTCAATGCTTCATTCTCTGTGCCTCCAGTGCGGAGCCACCCTGTGAAACCCTGCCATTTCTCTATTTTTTTATTTTTCTACTTTCTTTTTCCACTCTTTTCAATATTTTTTTTTTTTACCTTTTTGAAATGGAGCCATTTCTTTCCTTCCCTGCTTTTCCTTTTGGCTTTCATATAACTATCGTTTTCAATACCAGACCTACTATCCTCATTTTACCAGTGTGTCACCCCGCTGTGAAAGTGGTAAGGTGCGGGTGATTTCTCGTTAAGGTCGCTTTATCTTTTTGGTCTATAGTAACGGATGGGTGTGGCAGACTGTGGTGAAGCTGCACACAGCACGCCACTGCCTCTTAACCAGGGGCCCCTCCATTGCTCACAGGACAACACACCTTCCTCCGAGTGACATAACTGTCCGACCGGTTTGACACCTCCATTTTCTCCAAGGCACCAGACGCAGCATTGCCAACAGGCTGCGGAGCTGTCACACTGTGAGTGTGTGAACATCTGACTGAAAAGAAACCTCTTGTGTAGGACAAAAAAGGGAACACATTTAATCCTTAAACATACGAACCTCTACACAATTTCTTTGCACTAAATGTCACCTTGACCGTACACTCTCTTTCTAAGATACACCCCACTGGGACAGGTAAGCTGCATCATTGTTTGGATATGAACTAAAGTCTCATTAAAACTATAGAGGGATGACACAGGTCTTTCATAAGCTAAACAGGACAGCTAATATGTGCCTGCAAGGCAAGACCAGGGACATGTGAACATTTGCCTGTCTGCCCGTGCCCTTCACAGGAAATCTGTAGGAGTGTTAGCAACAAACGAGACCCCGAATCTCAGCAGTCTGGAAGCCAGCACCTGACTGTGTGACATTTAAACTGTCTCACCGGCAGACAAGGCTTCCGACAACCTGGCAAGAAATGAATTTCCTACTAACATCTTAGGAGATTTTCTTATTTTTTTAAACTATTCCGTCCTTAGAATGATTTAGTCTTTTCCTCACTTAGAATTGAGTGATGTTCTCATTTTCACCTAAAAAGTAAACAATAACAACAACAGAACCAAAACAAACAAACAACAGCCAACATCACAGGATTGTTCGGCTCAGCTGGGTGCCATATTTACATCTTCTAAATAATTATCTTTCGTTTATTTTTGCACCTTTACAGTTATGTTTTTTCCTTTTTTTTGGGGGCTGGCCCAGTGATAAGAGGCAGTTGAAAAGACAGAGACAATGCCGCAGAGCCCAGTGTGAACTGTAAATGTGTAAAAAGTTTAATTTGCACATGAAAACCGGCATGTATGACTAAAGCGTTTTATTATTTCTTTCTTGCTCTGGCAGGAGAAGATCAGAGGCACGACTCATGATCTATTCTGGGCTCTCATCACCTCCCATTTTAAACACCAAAGACGGGTAATTATCCTTTAAAGAGCCTGCCACGGAAAGCACCACGTTCTGTCCTGTTCCTTCCTCAAGGTTTTATACACAGAAAGAGAGAACGCATGGGCGTGTTTACAGTAGGTGACCACTGGACAGAGCAAATGCATGAACCACATGAACAGTAAGTCTACAGCAAACTCATGAACTGCAAAGACCAGGTTTAAAATAGAGAATACGCAAATCACACGGATCAGGTAGGTGAGCAAACCAACCGCAAGGACCAGCTTTACAATAGGTGACTGTCAGACTGAGAGATTGCATGAACCACATGGACATTGTTTAGGCCTGGTTAGCACAGTTGGTAAGAGCGGGGGGCTAATAATGCCAAGGTCAAGGGTTTGATCCCTGTATGGGCCATGTCTCATCATTTCATTTGGGGGGGCAGTGTGGCACAGTGGTAAGGAGCAGGACCCACAACCATAAGGTTGCCAATTCGATTCCCTGATGGGGCACTACTGATGTACCCTTGGGGCAAGGTACTTAACCCAGAGTTGCCTCCATAAACATCCAGCTGTATAAATGGCTAACATGTTAAAATAACTGTAACATACGTAAGTTGTTCTGGAGAAGAGCATCTGCTAAATGCCAGTAATGTAACGTTTACAGAAGAGGAAGAGAGCAAACCACGAGGGCCAGGTTTATCACGCAGCAAGCTCATGAACCACAAGAACCAGGTTTACAGTAAAGGACCACTAGTCTCAGTGAATGCATGTACCGCAATGACCAGGTTTACAACAAATGACAACAGTCAATAAGCAAGGGCATCTCTACAGGCTTCCTCTCCCCAACCAAACAGGATAAAATCCAGTCACATTCCAACAACCTTTAGAACCCAAATACTCACACCTAAAAGACTGCTCCACTGTATGTGACCTGGAGCTGGGCTGTTTCCAGACGCAGGCCAAGAGCAACGGCTCAATGGAAATTGGATGCAGAGACTAAAAGCTCTCATTTTTCACGGGCAGAAAAACAGAACAAAACAGGCAACGCCACAAAAAAATCACAAAAGAATCAAAATCACACTCCCATGCATCCTGCAACAGTAAAAAACCATAACTAATGGAGTAACAGAATGAAAATATCTCTATGTAATAAAATAATATCTACATGCACATATGTATGAAAACCCATGTACGAATATGTACACCCACATATCCAGATAAAAGCAGCTTAGGGTAATAATGATTCTGCTCAGCTGAGGGTCACACCATTGAGCCCACTAAATACACCAAACAGCAAATATGTAAATGGTGCAAATCATGGGTCTTAAATGACTGCTGAAAACCTTTTACATTTTTAAAAGCAAATTCACAGCTCATTGTGACACAGGAGAGAGTGATGCTGTGAGAGAAGGAATATAAAAACACAAGATGTCATGGAAAATAAAAAAAGGGGGGTCATGGGCTGTTTGGTCTTGGACTGTTTGGCTTTGTCAGTACAGACTACATCTCCTGTGCTTAGCACTGGCTTTGCAACAGAGGAGAGGAGAGAGATGTGCATTCGATGGACACAATGTCACATAACACTGAACCACCTACCCTGCATGGTGGTGCATCTGTCAGCTAGAGGTAGATATGTGTCTGTGTGTGCATACTAACCTACAAGCAAATGTACGAGTGTTTGTAGGTGTGTGTGTGTGTGTGTGTGTGTGTGAGTGTGTGAAAGGGTACTTGTATCTGTGTGTGAATACACAGTTATTTGACACCCTTATAAATCACTCTGAATCCCCATTGGCAAACAGTGGCAGAGATGAGCTAGGCCCCAGCTCTGGGTGGGATTTGTTCAGTCTGTACGGCGTACAGTAATCCCGGTATCTTTCCCCACCTTTCCATTGTTGAAGCCACTGACGACAGTGGAGGATTTGCAGGGATTAAGCACGGGGAAGCTTGAGAACATGTCCCCTTTTATCGTCCCCATTCTACCTCCCATGCATTTCCATTCTTCACCAACACAAGTAGCTTTAACCTGTTAAAAGTGTCATAATCCCGGTGATGGGATATCACATCAACGATGGGATGCTTTTCTTCTCCTGTGGGGAGGGTTTTAACATGGAGCATCCACAGCCTGGTACTGTAAAGTAATGTAAACTGGAGGCTGGCTCCTGGTTGGCTCTTGAACTTTGGTGTACATGTGATCCACCCAGACCTCCACATCCCCCCCCTTCTCTCTCTCACACATACCCACAGGCATACACACAAACACAAACACACAGACACAAACAGACAGACAGACAGACACACACACACGCACACACACAAATGTTAGATGTTCTTTACAATTCTATATGCAACATGTGGTGTAGTGTGTCTAATGCTGTCGTTAAATGGTTCGTGATTTAGCAAACTAACTATTTAGTAACACAACTGTGTGTACAATGAGCAAGGCCTCACGTGTTTTCGCTTTTTTTCCCCCCCTGTTATTTGTGACTCATCCATGTAGTGACCCATTTCCAGGCCCCTGTGTTCTCTGTTATTGGCTGAAACTCTGGCAGAAAGGCTGGGAAGACGCTGCTCGATGCAGGCCAGCATTCAGGTAATGAGGTCTGTCTCATCATCTCACATAATTGTTCATTTAGCTCTAATGCTGAAATGAACAGGAGAAGTTCATTTCCTCCCTTGCATTTGGGGTTAGTTAATACCAACACCAATACTATTGTTTAAGCAAATTGGGTCTGGTTACCTCCGGGTCTTCCATGCTAATTCACCTTACCAGAGCATCATTCTCTAAGAGACGTTTAAACAGCTTTGTCTTTCCAACACAAAAATCACATTAACACCGCCGCAACCCTCTCTCATTAGCCTGGCACCCAACCCACACACACAGACACACACACACAGATGCACACACACACAGACGCGCACACACACACAGACGCGCGCACACACACACACACACACACACACACACACACACACACACACACACACACACACACACACACACACACACACACACACACACACACACAAGATTTAATTTGGGAACTGAGGTTTAACAAACAGTAACTAATACAAGCCCGTAATGAACGCTGTGAACATCCGCTTCCCAGCTTGCATGGGACTGGTGGGGCAGGGGGGGATGGGGGTAAACGTAGTGTTCGCAGCAACATCGAAGTGGAAGGCTTAGCTAGCGCACTGCGAAACCTTGCCCCAGGACAGAGCTTTGGTTTCAGCAGAGTGGGTCTTTCTGGAGAGGTCTGAACAGAAATAGAAAGCAACAGCTAATCTCCACAGACTACAACACTATAAAATGTCAAGCTGAACAATTACAAAGCAGCTGGCGCTTCCATGAATAATTCCAGCAGGTTTTGTGCTGGATGAATGGACAATTCAAAAAAAAATCCCACAGTACAAGGGAGAGGGGGAGAGAGAGGGCTAAAAAGGAAATTAAACACATTCTGAATGCAAAGTTGCACGGAGCACCAACTTTACAAACGTGTGTTTGTAAGGGGCAGGGCAGGGCAGAGAGAGTGGACAGCAGACACTGTAACTCAAGAGGAAACTTCACCTCAAAACAAAAAACTTAACACCTCATTTCTTCCTTTACAGTATTTGGCAATTATGCAGTGAGAAGAAAAGAAAGCAGTTTCACAGTTGAGAAATCTGTTTCCTCGCACTCTCTTCTTCCTGCTCTGAAGTCATTCCTCCTCTGTGATGCATGAGTGAATGGATGAAAAAGCTGCCCAGTCTCCATAAGAACCTCCAGGCCATGCACAGGTGGCTATCCTGAAATATTTAAGCCATTTATTTTTAACTGATATTTTGAATTTTTGTTTTTTTTTTTCCCCAAGTGTAACTTCATCTCTACTTTATCCCTCTGCCTACAGTACCCAGAACTCTGATGCTGGCCACACCCCTTTTAGCATATAGCAAGCACAATGCTAACACAGATAAAAAAATAAATACTGCAGTATGAGGCAAACCAGCTGCATCAAAGGAAGTAGGATGTATCTACAGCCTGCTTGAGGATATATCTATACACTGCAAATGTGAATTTGCCACAATACAGAGAGGTGGAGTGATGCATTCTGGGAAGGATATATGAAGTTTAGGAATGTTCGGTGAGGAAACCAAGCTGTTCCATATGCCTACCTACAAGAGCAAGGCTAAATAACATTTTGTAATTAATCTACATAGCAGTTGCCCTTTAATTCCTGATGCCACACAAAGTCAATGCCTTACACTTAGCTGTGCTGGGTACAATTTATTTCTTCTAGCCAGACAGACACAAGAAATCACAGGGTATTAATATTTCACTTATGTGTCCCGATACGAGCATTTGTTTCATGCGTTTTTTATTTAATTTTTTTTTTTTTTTTTTTTTACAGAATTTAAACCAGGCCTGTTAATTATATCTCAGTGGGCTTAATTATATCTTGAACCTTTTAGCCCAGAGCAACAGCTAACACCAGCCCCTGAGCAGATGCAGTCAGTCCTCGCGAATGCTAACGCGCTGCAGGAGATGAGGCTGTGGACCTGACTGAGGCCTGCCTCTGAGGAAATCAGCAGCCCCGCCCATCTGGCCTCTCCGCACCACATCAACAGCAGCAGCTCGGTCCTGCAGAGCGCTGTGTGGTCGCTCAGGGCCACCGTACCCATGCGCTGGGGAGGGTCAGTCTCTGGGGCTCAGAGGGCTGTGCTGCCCCTATCCTCACCGCAGTGGAAAGGGAGCTGGGCTGGGGCCAGGGAAGGGCCGCAGCTGGCATTCAAGCTTCCCTGGGTCCCACCTTTAGCCACCCGATACCACTGACGCTGGCAACCATCACCAAGGAAACAGGATCATTACAGGAGTCTCAAAGCCTTTTGAACCACTTCTCTGATTGACCGATCGCAGATCAATCCAACTGTTAATAAACAGGAATGCAAAGCAAAGGAAGGCAAACAAAAGACAAGATCATTAACCTTTTGTAAGTGCTGCAGAAAATTTAATTTGCTTCACTATTCCCAAAATAAGACTCAATCCCCGTTGAAACAATGCTCTCTATGCCCTTCTGGTGACTATTAAAACAATATTTGACAAATTATTCAAATCAGCCTCTCTCATGTCCTCCTACTGTCAGATGACAGTAGCTGTCAGGCTTGGTTGTCAAGAGGAATCCCATGCAAAGGGTTCCAGACAGGCTAAATATGGTTTGCAACACTTCATGCAGCAGAAATAACATTTTGTACATTTACACGTAAATATTTACACGCAACTATTAAAAAAGGCTTCTCTCTCCCTTTTTATATACTGTACAAAAAAACAATTAGTTTACTCACAGAAAAAATGAAGTACTTCAAAGACAGTCACGAAGCATTTCGGAATTTTGCATTAGATAACTTATTTTGAGCGCCGGAGATCAAATCCCTGTAAGTGCG